TAACAATGATGATGACTATGACGATTATTTAGGATGTCCACTACGGAGATGGAGCCACGATATCAACTCGGGTGGAGCTTGTGGGTCGATTGTTGCATTGCAGGATCGTGAGAGACGGCGACGGCTTGGCGAGGCCTTCATCTAGCAGTGGAGTGATTTGGGACAATGATGATGGTTGGACGATGATGATGATATTGATTATGATGATGATGAAGGGACGATGATGGTGATGATGACAGGATGATGACGGGATGATGATCACAGGATGATGACAGAATGATGATCACAGGATGATGATGATGATGATGGTGATGATGATGACAGGATGATGATGGTGATGACAGGATGATGATGATGATGATGATAGAATGATGATCACAGGATGATGATGATGATGATGATGACAGGATGATGATGATGACAGAATGATGATCACAGGATGATGATGATGATGACAGGATGATGATGATGACAGAATGATGATTACAGGATGATGATGATGATGACAGGATCATAATCACAGGATGATGATGATGATGACAGGATGATGATGATGATGACAGAATGATGATTACAGGATGATGATGATGATGATAGGATGATAATCACAGGATGATGATGACAGGATCATAATCACAGGATGATGATGACAGGGAGTTTGCGGAGCTCGCGCTGGGCAGCGCACGAGTTAAACGTCCACAGCCACCGGCCTCATCCATCACCTCCGCCGCACCCTAATATCATCCGTGATTATTTCATTTAAATTCAAGCTGCGAATTAAAAGCCAAAAGGATTAATGTGCGCGGGGAACAGCGCGCTGATTTATGCAATATACAAAAAAATCATGCGTATTTTTTTCTTTTTCCCCGCAATGCCCCTAAGTTGTGCAATACATCATTAGAATTTACAACAGATGGTCTCATGGCGGTGGGTGGGCATTGTTACAACTCAACATTACGCAGCTGCGCGCGCGTGCATTCACATATCTAATGCCGATGTACAAATACAATTGAGCGTTAAATACACCAAAATATTTACTGGGAATTACCGAAGAGCAATTGGGTGCCCGCAACAGCGACGTTAAAGACCCTTTTGGTACCGCTTTGAGAGATACGTGACATTTCCGTGACAGCCCAAATGCCAAATATGACAAATTACCTGCGGTTAAAATGTAATAATGATCATTATAAAATTTTATTGATGACAGATATGAGATGATTAAACACCTCGCGGATTGCTGCTATATGAGAGAGGTTGTTTTGTTTGCTGTCTGCCGTGTTTATATTTATGTTACTAAAAATAACATTTACCTTACTAACAATGTATTCATTCATTCACGCTTCGCCGAATCTCAGGACTCACTTTCAGAGAGGGGGGCCCTGCCTTGGGATGGTCGGCCACTTTATTTTCCACGAGGGTTCTGCATTTAGGGGAGGTCGCGGCACTTCCCCGGACAAAACCCCCCCGCGGCACAAACGCTCAACAGTCCGTTCCGGTTCGGTCGACAACCTACTTGCTATATTCTTAGGTTTTTTCGGTACCGAAAAAACCTAAGAATATGATTCCTTGCAGTCACGAAAGCTTCAAATCTAGAACCTACTTGCTGTACCTGCTGGCCACCTCATAGCTCTGCAGGTGAAGTCTCTCACGCAAACTTATCCTTTTTGCGGCGTGTGTGCTCATATAAGGGGGGCACCCCAGGTGGCATCTGACAGTCATCTCAATCAGTCAACCCATTGCACCACCTGGGTCTATTAAACTTTATTCTGTATTTTACCAGATAAGACCCACTGAGTTATATAGATAGGCGACCTGCCTATCACAAATGAGAGCTCAGCGAAGTAGCTTATCACGTGGAAGTTCACAGCAGCCAAATAATCTAAAGTCGTGTTTCTAAATGTGGAGGGAAACCTGGAGGATCCGGAGAAAAATCCACACGACCACGGAGAGAGAGAGAGAGAGACGCCAACTCCAAATATGCAGGCGCCAGGGTCGGGATCGAACCCACAAACTCTGTAAGACCGGCCCCAGGGAGTTACCGTCTCGCCACCTCGGAACCTGCTCCGTGGCCTTCTGTCAGCGGGCCTTCGACACTTCACGTGGCCGCGAAGTAAGTGCACCTAGCATGGCACAAGCGCCGTGGTGACGTGACCGCCACTTCGTGGTGAACGGTGGTGGTTGTTGTTGTTGTTCTTCTTCTTCTCGTGCGTATGCGGGCGTCTGCTAAGAGGGGCTCGCTAACAACGCTTGTTCCGAGAGTCTTGAAGACTTAAACGCGTGGACTTGTTGTTCAGTTTTGCCTTTAATTAAGTTCATATTTTAATTTGGCCATCAACATAACCCATAACCTCTCGAGGGTGAATACAATTAGGATTTTTTTTGTGGGAAATCGACAGTGAACAAATTAACATCCCCTTTATAAGAATGTGGAATTGCCACCACTGACTCGATGGAGGACCAACTTCATTCATTGCCAGTTTCAGCAGGGAGACACTTCGACTTCGACGTTTTGTTGTCGTGCAATCGTTGGTGACTGGGCTCAAACCATCGGCTCGCTCCGGGTTATTCCCTCCACATTTATAAAGATGCATTAAGATTATTTCACTGCTGTGGATCTCCACGTGAAGGCCCACTTTGTTGAGCTATAATTTGTACCTCAGTGGGCTTTGGCCTGGTAGGATGGGGATGGTTTAGTTTTATTTGTATGTTTTTTGGGTGCTTTGTTTTACCGTTCTTGTACTTTGCACTATCATGGTTGTGTGTTGTTGTTGTTGTAACGCTGTTACCCGCCCCTACTGGACACCTGTGAAAAATAGCTTTATAGCTCATCGGATTCCTCCGGTACAAATACATATTCTGATTACGAACAGTTGATTTAATCATTGGCGGCCGAAGCCCGGAGTCAAGCCCAGGCCCTCAGCGGTACCGGCTCATTGTGTCTCCCTGATGATCCCACTCAACCACATGCTGGAAATGGTGGCACGGCAGGAAGAAAAAAAAGTAGATTAATTTTCAAATGTAACAAAATCTCTCAGCGGCTCCATCCATCAATTGGGCCGGTGACAGAACACAATTTGATTTTTGAGGAAGCGAGGGAGATGACAGCCCGAGGCCTCACCGAGGCTCCCACGCATCTCCCGCCTCCACTGGGCATCGCTCCATCTCCCGATGGGCTGTACCGCTGCCCCGGCCCTCAGCTGAACACGACGGGGCCTCGACGGACCCGGTGATTAACCCCCCCCCCCTCCCATCCACGAGTTCAGCAGCGTGAGCAATGGCTCTTGGGACAGGTCGGCCGAGCTCTGCGCTGCAGCACTTTGCATGGGCGACGCGTGCTCCGACTCCCACGGTCACGCAGGAGAGTGCGTGGAAGCACAGCCAGTGGGTCGCTGGCCTACATCTGCCCGCGTACCCCCCCCCCCCCCCCACATTCCGGCTCAGCGCCGCCGATGGTAGCCAGTGTCCGCCCCACGCTCGTCTGAGCCAAAGGACAGCGCCGTTTGGCAGAGGGCTGGAGTAGAACCAGGGAGGATTCTGCACTGGGAATGGCGGCAGTGGCACGGCGTGGAAAGACGTGGCGTGGCGCGGCACGGCGTGGCGCGGCACGACGACCGTGGATCGACGACCCCAAACTGGCCTCAACGAGCGTCAATTAGGGGGCGCGCCGGGCGATCGAGGGCACGGGGGAGCGAGGGGGGGTTGGCAATTAACGGCGGTGCTAATGCGCCTGATGTAGCGGCTCACCGTGAGAGCGCTCGGCTCACGCAATCTCCTGACGAGGCCCGGGGGCTTTGCCCGAGTTGGTGTTGCTCACTACAAAGGCACGCGTCGGAGTTTGCGGCGCTGCGGTGGTACCGCTGGGTTCGAGCCCTGGGGCTGGGTGATCTCCAGCAGGGCTGGGTTTATGGAGGGGGGAGGACAAATGGAATATTTGTTCCCAAAGCCTAAAACTCCAGAGGGGACCGTGTAAAAAATGTATGTGTGTGTGTAAAAGTGGTAGTGTAGCAGTTAGCGCGCTGCGCTACGAACCCGGTGACCCGAATTCGATTATCTGTACCGTTCCTGGGCCTCCCCTTGGTCGACTCAGCCTCAAATTATTACCTGTTATGGTGTGGAAACATGGCCACTGGGGAGACAAAGGCGGCCGGGCGTGGTGCTGACCACCCACCACCTCGTGTGCCGTTCCGGCCTTCATAGGTGCTCGCCATCGTCATCATGATGAGCAATCAATAATCCACTGCTGGATGAAGACCACCCCAAGCCGTGTCTATCAATCGTGGCCACGCCAAGCAACAATCCATCTCGCTCCCGCACACGAGCCCACTTCATCGTTACATCGCTCCGGCAGACGTGCTCTCGTGGCTAAAGGGACTCTGCAATGACGATGCTTCCCATAACGCAACTGCATCATACTTCACGTGGTCGGCTACCATGATGATGTTTGCGGCTATGCTGCTGCCATATTGCTCTCTCCAGACCTGCAAAGGGCACGACGTCCGACATTTCGCTCCGCGTGCCGTTGGGAGCTTCCCTTCGCTCCGCGCGCCGTTGGGAGCTTCCCTTCGCTCCGCGCGCCGTTGGGAGCTTCCCTTCGCTCCGCGTGCCGTTGGGAGCTTCCCTTCGCTCCGCGCACCGTTGGGAGCTTCCCTTCGCTCCGCGCGCCGTTGGGAGCTTCCCTTCGCTCCGCGTGCCGTTGGGAGCTTCCCTTCGCTCCGCGCGCCGTTGGGAGCTTCCCTTCGCTCCGCGTGCCGTTGGGAGCTTCCCTTCGCTCCGCGCGCCGTTGGGAGCTTCCCTTCGCTCCGCGCGCCGTTGGGAGCTTCCCTTCGCTCCGCGTGCCGTTGGGAGCTTCCCTTCGCTCCGCGCGCCGTTGGGAGCTTCCCTTCGCTCCGCGTGCCGTTGGGAGCTTCCCTTCGCTCCGCGTGCCGTTGGGAGCTTCCCTTCGCTCCGCGTGCCGTTGGGAGCTTCCCTTCGCTCCGCGTGCCGTTGGGAGTTCAGAGCGCAGCGAGGGACACTGCGCCGAACATCAACGCGGGGTTCAACCCACAAACATGTCGAAGGATGGTGCCGAATTGATAATTATAAACTGAATACATTTGCATAATTATTACAATGTAACGCAATCCACCGCTACAATTAATTGTGACAAATGCGGGGGTGAGGAGGGGGGTGACATCTCATTTGGCTGACTTTACCTAGAATTGAACCCAGCGCCCATTTGCAGGTCCACTCCATTAGGAGAGCACCTCAAGTAATGCTGTTTAAAAAACAAACACCCACACCTGCATAATTCATAGAAGTAACTAATTTAAAAGTAACCTGCACCTTGGAAGTAAATAACGGTGATTAATGTGGGGGTGGAGGGAATGTGTGTGGGAATGGGATGAGAAAAGCACTCGTTAATTCGCTTACCCCCGGCACGCTGTGCTGTTATCGTCAAACACCCCCCCCCCCACACCAGATCCACGCGCTGATTATCAATGGGCGCGCTGTATTTCTCCAGGTGAGAGCCCGTTGAGATCTAGTGCCTCTGTTTCGCTGGGGGAGACAAGGGCCACGTGGAGTTACACGGGCAAGTGGAGGCGACTGAAGTGGCTACTCACAATGCGAGTTCGAGCCATGCGTGGCTACGCCGGGTTCCCAAATGTAAACGCGATTTGTGGCCTTTCCCCTGCCACCGCTGGCTGAATTTAAACGGCTTTGGTCAATCAATTAAAATGTCAAATAGTGGATCTGCACAAGCTTACGAGAGGTCAAAGGCCAAAGCCAGATACTCCGATCGGTACTGACATGTTGACCTTTACAGATGAGCCAGGGTGGCACAGGGTGACACAGGGAAAGTTGTCACCCAACATTTTACCCGTGTGACTGAGCAAATATTTTGTGCAAAAAATGTCTGGACGAGATGACATAGGCATTGGGCGACGACTCGAGTTGCCACCTTTCGCACTGAAGACCAAATCCGGATATATCTCTCAGGAAGCAGTCGGTCTATTATTTACTTGGAAGCCACTATTAAATTTAAATTGAAAATTCTTCTTTAGAGCTGCTTTTGTGTTTAGTGTGTTCTTCTTCCGCCCGCACATTATGGAGCACTCCATAATTTTGGGACAAAAATGTAAAACCATTTTTTATTTTTAACTTGCAAGTTGATGAAACGAACTTCGAAATAAACGTTTTGGTGTCAAATTTTATGCGTGATGAATTTTTGTACAATGGTTTTCTGAGTTAGTTAAAAAGATGATGATTATAATAAAGATATGAGCAGTTCGTGATTAGCCAACCGACGAGCCAATGGCGCTATCTCACTCTTGTCATCAATACATGAGGTGCGCGCTAAACGGCGAGACACGAGACACGGTGCCGGCTCCAGCTGCTGCACGCTCGGCAGTTGGGAGGGCGGCAAACTGCACATTCTCATCCCAGCGCTCCCCGATGTTGAATGGCCCCTCGACACATCTCCAGGCATTGCTTTCAGAGCTGCTTTCAACGTCGACGACTGAACACCAACAAGAGGTGGGGGGGTGGGGGGGGCAGGCCCGCATCCTTTGGTCTTGCCATTATCGCGAGAGCCAGCCCTGGTGGGGTCCACCACAAAGGTAGAGAGAGGAGCGATCCGCCCCAGTGATGAGATGGCAACCGAGCGACGTCGTCCGTAAAACTCACGGTCGCCACAGTGAAAAACGGCCACATGCGAATCGCAACTTTGAGATGCCACCCACATGGGTACGGGTATTGATTTTTTTTCCACACTGGCTATTTGGCGTGCGAGCCATCGCTTCACATACATGCGTCTCGACTTGCTAGTTGCGCGCGACGTCAGTGGTGCGCCTCGGATCGGCTTCGGTAGTGGGGAGAAAAAGACACACACACACAACGTGGCACCGGCACGGCTCGGTTGTGCAGTGGAAAAAGAGGTACACGTTTCGTCGGCCCGGGTGGGTGGACAGGGCGGGTGGGGGTGGTGGTGGTGGTGGTGGTGGCTCGCGCGTGTACCAGAACTTCGGGACGCCGCCGAGTCTCGCCCGGGGAGGGTGGAGTGGGGGGCGCCGTCCCCTCACAACCGCTCGCGGTTCAGGACGACGGCGGCGGCGGCAATGGCGAAGACGAGGCGGGCGGACGCGGCGGACGATGCCGCGGTGGCCGTGGCGGCCCCGGCGTTAGCGGCGGGCACGTGGCACAGCTGGAAGAGGCCCCCGGGGCCGTTGATGCGGTCCAGCTCCTGCTGGAGCAACGTGAGCTTCCGCGCAGCGTCCGGCGGGCAGTCGGTGAGCACCTCCGCCTTGCACTCGTGGTACTCGTCCCAGTAGCTGCCGGTGGGGAGGGGCAATCGGAGTGCGGAGAACGGGACGCGTGTGAGCGGCCCTGGCCCGGCCACGGTTCAATGCGGCCGCAGGACTGCGGTGTTGCGAGCGAGATGCTGACGACTGGCCGCCGATTGGCTGGATCGTCGGTTAGCCGAGTGAGATTTAGGAGTGGATGGTCGGCGGCGAGGCTGCGAGTGGGCGTTGAGTGTCAGAGCAGAAGCGGATACCACAGAGCTACTTCTGAGAGTCACACATGAGAGAGTTGCACCTTCTCACAGTCCCTGCAGCAGAGATGTGTTCATCCCAAGACATCTTTTAGTTGTCAGAGCTGTATGTTAGCAAAATTAAGTGCAGAATCCAGTATATCTGACGGGTGATCGAGCCAAGACCCGTCAGGTCACTACACTCAATAAACCCTCGTTTAATCACAGGCAACTGCCTGGACTCGAACCCAGGCTCTCAGCGGTGTCGGCTTAGCACTCTGACCTCTGACCTCTGAGACACCCGGCCACCTCACGAACCTCTGGGGTCAGGGTTAATCTAAGAAGAGGTCGCTTTATTTTAGATTTGTTTTTTTATGAAGCTCATTTTATATTTGCTTATCCTGTAATGTCCCGAAGGGGAGAAATCGGATTAAATAAATTATTTGACGGATGATTGATTGTCCCCGCTTCACGGTGCAGTGCGGTGAGATGGTGTCTCTCCAGCCCCTCTCGTGCCCACGATGTTTGCTGTCGTTTTAAAAACGGCGTTCATTCTAAACTAAAATATTTTCTATTTTACCAGGTAAGGCTCCCTGAGCTACATAGATCTTATTCGGAAGCGATCTGGCCATAAATGATAACTCAAGGAAGTGGCTTATCACATGGAATGTATTCCAAACAAATACTCGAAACGCGCGTTGATTCTAAATGTGGAGGGACAGACCAGAGGACCACGCGACCACGGGGAGGAGACACGCAAACTCCAAATGTGCAGCAGCAGACGTCAGGGTCGGGATCGAACCCCCGACCTCCTGCGTACCAGGCGAGGTAGTTAACATCTCATAGCCACCGTGATGATGATGAGGGAGAGACACGCAAACTCAAAATATACAGCAGCAGCAGCAGGCGTCAGGGTCTGGATCGAACCCACGACCTCCTGCATGCCAGGCGAGGTAGTTAACATCTCCTAGCCACCGTAATGATGATGAGGGAGAGACACGCAAACTCAAAATATACAGCAGCAGCAGGCGTCAGGGTCTGGTTCGAACCCACGACCTCCTGCATGGCAGGCGAGGTAGTTAACATCTCCTAGCCACCGTAATGATGATGAGGGAGAGACATGCAAACTCAAAATACACAGCAGCAGGCGTCAGGGTCTGAATCGAACCCCCGACCTCCTGCATACCAGGCGAGGTAGTTAACATCTCGCCACCGTGGCGAGCTCGTTCGCAATGAACGGCAACCTCTCCTCCGAACGGGGCTCTCGGAGCTGACACGAGGAAGACGAAATCGTGTAAAATATGAAAGAAACGCGTTTTACCGTCCGCCCACAGTGACTTCTCTATAAACAACTTTTAATTTCGCCCGGCTTCCATCGCAGATTCATGCCCGTATCTCAGATCCATTCTTTACGCTGCTATTCCATTCAAACATTGGCTGAAGAAAAGAAAAAAACACTTTCATATTGTTTTTAATAAAAATATAATAATAAAATAAAACACCTTCGGGCTGATCGAGCGTCTAGTATTTTGTTTGTTTTCCGTCCACTCGAACGCCCCGTTGATGAAGGCACTGAAAACCACATTTGGTAATTCCCTGCGATCGCTTCCTTCCGCCACGTGCACTAAAGGCACAGGCGCAGCCCCTGCAATGCCTTATCTCACGCCCCTGCTGGTGGGAAGGGACCTCCCCTCGGGTGAGCTCTACAGACAGCCCCCTTCATGTTGGGGTATTTTCCCGACTCTTGCACGCCGGCCAGACCTCTCGGGAGGCGTGGGAGAGTGCCCACGCTTCTACTCCGCCGCAAGCGATCCGCCGTTCGACTCACTCGTACTGTTGGCTGGACAGAAGGTGGGGGGATTTAAGAAGCTTAACACCGCTGTTCCAACTGTCACACCGGGGGGGGGTCCAACCCTGTGACCTCAGGATTGCAACACATTTATTTGGCTGGCCATCGAACAAAAACGGTCACTGCATCGCGCGCGCTTTCAGATGCTTTTCTGCGGCCGTCTGGAATGCTCGTCCTTCCGATAATAGGAAGCCACTGGAACAATGCACTTTATTAAAATCATCTACATTGACAAACTCATTTCTTTAAAACTGTTTTTGTGTTTAGTTTGTTGACCTTCTGTCGCACCTCCGATTAGCAGGTTCGTTTCGTAGAGTGCGAAGAAGTTCAGCACACTTACACCCAGTGTGCGAACCAGTGTGCGAACCAGTGTCCGAACCAGTGTCCGAACCAGTGTCCGAACCAGTGTCCGAACCAGTGTCCGAACCAGTGTCCGAACCAGTGTCCGAACCATTTACACCAACGGCAGCATCCCCACCATGGGTAATCATTTCACAAACTTCACCAGAACAATAAAATGCCGCTACGTTTTTTGAGGCTCGTTTTGCTTCAAATGCTTTGCCAAAAAGACAACGACCCCCCGTAGGTATTGCCTTTGCCGACCGTTGGGGCAAGTGCTGTTAGCGAGCACCGATGAATTTCAGCACAACACACAGAGGAGTGAGTGGCCAGCACCATGGCCGACCACTGCTGATGTTTACACACCGCACCAGAAACTCAGTTTTAGATCATCACTGATGTTGATCGTGAGCAGGAATCGAACTCGGGTTGCCACATTTCTAGCGCAGCTCCCCACAGAATGTCTTACCGCAGATCAGGGCTGGAAATGGGAAGAAATTACTGGGGGGGGATTTATCTCCGTGTTTGTGTCTCTGTGTGTAGTCTGGATCTCTGTGTGTGTCTGTGGGTCTCTGTGTCTGTGAGTCTCTGTGTGTGTTTGTGGGTCTCTGTGTGTCTCTGTGTGTGTATATGGGTCTCTGTGTGTGTCTGCGGGTCTCGATGTGTGTCTGTGGATCTCTGTGTGTGTTTGTGGGTCTCTGTGTGTGTCTGTGGATCTCTTTATGTGTGTGTGTGGGTCTCTGTGTGTGTTTGTGGGTCTCTGTGTGTGTCTGTGGGTCTCTGTGTGTGTTTGTGGGTCTCTGTATCTGTGGGTCTCTGTGTGTTTGTGGGTCTCTGTGCGCGTCTGTGGGTATACGTGTGTGTCTGTAAGGCTCTCTGAGTGTATGTGAGTTTCATTGCATGTCTCTTGGTCTCGCTGTGTATCTGTGGGTCTATCTGTCTGTTTGTTGGTCTGTGTGTATCTGTGGGTCTCTGTGCTAGAATGTGGGTCTCTCTGTGAGTAAACCACTGCCGCAGATACACAGAGAGCAGCAACAGCTGCGGCACGTAGTGCCACACTCGTTCTCTCCACCCTCTCTCGCTTGATTACGAAATATCTCAAGCGTCCGTCAGACGTTGATTCTGCTCAGAATCCAACTCCCTGCCTCCCCGCTGCGCCCTACGCGTGTGATTCGCGTGATTACTATCCATGTGCTCGGTGCTTAAAGCACCGGCAACGCTCTCGTTTCCAAATCAGCCCTTCATTTCCGACCTTCTGTTATGGTAGAAAAAAGCGTTTTAATCTCATATTAAAAAAATACCTTTCACTTCGGGACAAATGTTCCGCTGCTGCTGCTGCTGCTGCTGCACAATGCCGTGGGTTGTGCGTTTAAAAAGCCACATTGTCGGATTCCTCGTTCGTTTTCCCTCTCTCCGTCATTCTGCAATGTGTACTTCCGTCGGCGTAATTGCGTTCTGCCCTTCGCCTGCGATCCCACAACTGGCGCTGTCAGCACCTCCCGTCGCTTACCAAATGGACCCCCCACCCGGCAAATGTGAAGCACCGCGCGCGCTTTAATCATTCCCCTCGTCAAACTTGTTACCGCTGTTTACCCCGAGCCCTGAGTTGCAGTCTGCTAGCTCTACTCCAACACTCACGATGGCATTTGTCGCTAGCAACCCACGGTCAACTTTTGTTGTTTCCTCTGGTCCAACACCGTTTTGAGACTAGGCTCAAAAGAAAGCTGCCTCTAGTGTGGGCCAATCAGTTTCAAGGACAATGCTTTTATTATCAGAGTATCTTTTTTTGTTTGCATTCTGACCACAAGTATTGTGTTTAATGCAGACATGATTCCTTGTAAAAAGTTTCAGTTTGGTGTTTTAACAACTTAACACAACTGTTTAGTTGCCAGAAAAAGGGGAAAACCTATTCTCAAATTTTGGTACTGGCAAAGGAGGCCCCATGATGTAGGTTAACATTTGTTGGTTTAGCAACATACGATCAACATTTGTTCACAACGTACGATTAACATTTGTTGCTGTTAGCAACATAGATTAACATTTGTTATTAGCGTCATATAACATACAGTCAGCATGTTAGTAACATAGGTCAACATTTGTTGTTAACAACATATAGGTCAACATTTGTTGTTAGCAACATAGGTCAACATTTGTTCTTAGTAACATAGGTCAACATTTGTTGTTAGCAACAGAGGTCAATATTTGTTGACAGCAACATACGGTCAACATTTGTTCTTAGCAATATAGGTCAACATTTGTTGTTAACAACATATACGGTCAACATTTGTTGTTAACAACATAGGTCAACATTTGTTGACAGCAACATACGGTCAACATTTTTGTTGTTTGCGACGAGAGGCCGAGAGACGAGTCACTGCGTGCACCGTGTTTACACAGGAGACGAACAGACCCGTCCCTGACCCGCACTCTCGGTTCAGCGTTCTTCACTGATTGTATCGTCGTCATCATCAGCGCGAGGGCCATTGGGAGTTTGACAGCGCGATGATGGGGTGGGGGGGGGGGGAATGTTTTCACTATTTGTGTATTGTCAGGGGCCGTACTCAAGGCCACCAATAAAGAACACTGATACAGACAATCGGACTCCTGTGACT